ATCCTCAGATCTTCTTTATCTTATAAATGAAAGTTTGTCCCTTTTGACTACCTTTACTGGTTTCTCCTCCTCCCTGCTTCTGGCAACCACCTGTCTGTTCTGTTTCTAGGAGTTCCACATTTATAGATTCCTTATGTAGGTGAGATCATACAATATTTATCTTTCTCGGACTCATCTCACTTAGTACAAGGCCCTCAAAGTTCATCTATGTTGTACCAAATGACAAGATTTCCTTCTTTCTCGTGGCTGAATTATATTTCATAAATGCACCACATTTTCTTTAGCTATTTATCTACAGACAGACACACAGTTCGTTTCCATGTCTTGGCTGTTGTGAATGATGCTGCCTTGAACATGGGGGTGCAGACATCTCTTTGAGTTAGTGATTTCTTTTCCTTTGGGTTCATACCCAGAAATGGATTGCTAGATCATATGGTAGTTGTATTTTTAATCTTTTGAGGAATGGGCAGAGGTGGTGTTGAAAACAAGACACAGAATGAACTTTGGGAGCAGAAAGGTAAAACCCAAGTGTGAAGGAGTACACTGGGGTCGCTGCTGACCCTAGAGATCAGTAGGCATCCCATTCCATCCAATACATCCAAAACCCAGTTCCTGAACTGCTTCCCAAAAGTCCACCTGCTTGGTCTTTCCCCCTTAGAAATGGCAGCTTCTCTCTCCACAGCTCCTCTTCCACAGACATCCCCATATCCAATCATCAACAAGCTCTGACTCTGCCCTTGAAAAATGCCCCAAACCTAGTTCCACCTCCAGCACACAGTCTCTGTTACCTGGCTGACCTCTCGTGCCCTCCTTTGGTCCCTGCAATGGATTCCAGAGTTTGATTCTTAAAACTGACATCATATCACCCTCTGCCCCAAACGTTCCAGCGCCTTCCCATCCACCCTTAGGATATTGCCCAGAAGTCTCCCCAGGTACTTGGCTCTCCCTGAGCTGACCCCTCCCATCATCACACCTCGCCCCACATCTTCCCTTGCTCTCTGGGCTCCAGCCTGCAACCCCCAGCAGCCCCTCCAGCACTCCGAGCTGCTGTACAGTGAGGACTCTGCAGCGCTGTGTCCCCTGCCTGGAATGCCCTCTGCTTGGGCATCCCAGAGATAGCTAGGTTTCCTCTTCACTCCCCACCACTCCTGGGTTCCTGATCCCCCCCCCCGTCTCTCTCCTCATAAAGCAGCACAGCAGGGCGTCTGCCATTTATCCTCCTTCATCTGTAGCAGTTATGCAGCTTAGGAGTTCAGGCAAACTTTGAACCTTTTTGTTGTTGTTTGAGAGATTTGATGTTCTTTAAATGTACTTTTAATTAAATGCAACCTAGACAGCTTCTCCCTACTCAGCTCTCCAGCGATTAAGGGGTTTGAGCCGGGGGATTGACTAGGATTAGGTGCTGTTTCCGGGCTCAAATGCTGTGTTCCCGCAACTACAAAGAGGCCTCCACTGAAGCTGCCTGGTGTCCATTTGCTGCTTACCTCTGCAGAAAGCCTCTTCTGATTCCACATCTTCACTTCCAAATACCTAAAACCAGCCTAGGACGTGTTCTGGTGAAAAACTATAGTAAAGTCTCAAGGAAATGGTTGGGGGAAGGAGCATTCTAGCTAATTTAATTTTTGGTTAACTGAGCACCATCCAGGTCTCTATTAGGAGCAGACATCATTATGGGAAAAGAAGTTGACAAATTTCGGATGGAGACTTTCCTTTATTTAAGCCCTTTCTCTGCCATTTGAATTCATGTGACACTCAATTTTCTCGTCTGTAAAAGGGGAGCAGTAATAGCTCTCTTGTCTTGTTGTTAGATTCAGCGTTCGCAGTCATTTAGTAGGAGGTGTGGTGGCTACGCGGGAGCTTTGGAAAAGCTCATTCTCCTCCCGCTTCCTTCTGTTTTCATTCTTCTCGGAAATAATTCTTAATACACTGGCATATAGCGTTTAAACCATGTTGTGTTAATGTAGACCATTGAGGGAAGGGGTTATATCCCTGGTGGAGGGAGCAGTGACTCATTATTGTGGAATATTTATGAAATATTTATGAAAAAATAACCAATCATTAAGGATTTTGAGTGCTTTTGTATCTCGGTGCTGTGGAAGAGCAGAAATAAAGAGGTTGTTTTATTCTTTTTGAAATGCCTAGATATTCTTCTTTACATCTCTCTTCTAAAAATTGAATGTGGGGGGGAAAATGGGTAGATAAGTCAGCATGGCAGGTTCAAAATGGCAGATAAAGCACCTCTATTACCGCCTCTCACTGAAAAAAAGAGAAAACCTCTGAAAAGCGGTAAAGGAAAAAGAGACTGAGGAGCATAATGACAAGGAGACAGGACGGATTCGCAGATGGCAGGTGAAACCAGTTTCTGGAGAACTGCTCAAGGAGGAAGCAGTGGGGGCCGTGGGGGCAGAGGTACATGCCTGGGGACAGCTGGAGTGGGCTGGGCCATGGAGGGGCCAGTTATGACCTGGAGCTGGAGATGGAGGGAAGAGTTAATAGTTTGTCTCTAGACCGATCTACTTCCTACCCTGCTACTGTATGCAGCCACTCAATAGGACAGGCAGAGGGACCCATAGGTCAGGGTCTCCTCCACTGAAGATGAATAGCCCAGAGGACAGACCCCTGCATCTGAGACCCAGGGTCTCTTCAGAATAACAGTGAATCTCCCACATGACCGAAGCTGCCAGGTGACAAGTGAAGTGGTCATGCAGGGGCAGGTGCATTTTGAAGCCTCTCTGTGCTGGTCTGTTTCACCCATGTGCTCACGCAAATTCAACTGAAATTTAAATGCTTCAGAAGAGTCCCCCAACATTGTGTCCTGTCATGAGCAATGTCTCTGCTGTTGGGAGATCTGCTTTCTGGGCACTTAGGTAAAATTTTACTTAAAAGTCGTGACAGCAGTGTCAATAGCAAATGCATGGCTTTGCTCCCAGGAGTCAAGATCACCTCGCCACCAGTATCATACATACTCCACCTAGGAGCAACCATGTGTTAATCTGCACATCCTACCCCTACTTTTCCAACAAGTGTCCTGTGCCCTGATTCAAGTCGTCAAGGGGACTTGTCCTGCCAACCCCGCTGGGAGGCGCCTGGGGAATATTGTGTGACATAAATACCACTTGCTGTGTCTGAAGCCTAACGAAGGACTGCTCCATCTGCTGGTGTAGCTGGCACCCACGACAGGATGGCACTGCCCTGTCCCCTGCACCCCTGAGGGCCCGCAAGCTCAGTCCTGGCATTGCTCTGCATGGCATGCCATCTCCCAGGGTCCACGTGCGCCAGGGCCTGTCCTCCCTCTCCAGGCGGTGACAAGTGCTGAGCACAGGCTTCCTTTTCTGCCACTGTGGCTGAGTGGTGATTAATGCCAAATTAGCACCTTGCTCAGTGACCTTTGAGCATTCGCTGCTGCTCTCCTTCACTTCACATAACTATTTGCAAATATTAGCTTCTCAGGTCATTTCTCCTCATCAGCAACTTTCACAGATGACAGGCAGATTGTTAATCTGATTGGCAGTCAGCCTCTGTCCTTTGCCCCATCCTGAAAGTATCTGCACTCGGGCATCTCCTCAGGAATCCGACAAGCAACTCAGCAGCCTCTAGGACATTGGTAGCAGAGAGCATCAGAAGGAGGTTTTCAGGTCCTGCTGGGCTCGCCTTGGAGGCAGAGAGGCTGGGGAGGCCCAGACTCGTGGAAACTGGTCTCTATCCACGTAATCAGTGTATAGGTTAAAAAATTAATGTGTTAGCTCTGCCCACATCAAGCTTTTTTTTTTTAATTCACATGAACTTTTATATTTTTTAAAAAGATTTTATTTATTTGTTCATAAGAGACACAGAGGCAGAGACATAGGCAGAGAGAGAAGCAGGCTCCCCATAGGGAGCCTAATATGGGACTCAGTTCCAGGACCCAGAGATCATGACCTGAGCCAAAGGCAGACGCTCAACCACTGAGCCACCCAGAAGCCCCCATGTGAACCTTTAAATAAAAAAATCACATACTACTTAAGCAGTGAAGCCAGAACACAGACAGGGCCAGTTCTTGTTTTCCCTGCTGTGCTCACTTAGCAGCACTAACCCCACTGCAGCTCCTGGCAAGAGCCTCACTGCCAGAGCTGTCCCCAGCACTAGGCACAGGGGCACAGCTCTCCAGTGTCAGGTACTAGATGAAGCATTTCATGTTTGTGGGACCTAAATTTATTTTTATTTCCAGTCTCTGCCTTCTCTACTGTTTATTGAAATCCCTGTTCCAAAAATGTTTGATCAGTCTTCATAAACAGCAATCAAGTGGGCTGTGGGTAGTTTAATTTTGATATTACATGTATTTTATAGAAAAATAGTAAAAACATGTCATATTTTTTTCTCCCTTGTCACCAGAAGTACGAGCTAAATTATTTATAATTTGATACACACAAAACAGAGTGGATTCAGGATATTTACTTTTCAGAGAAGAAAAAGGGATTGAAAGTACACAGCCAGGACAGAAAACTTTGTTGATTGAATTCGTTTGCTCCAGGGAGTCAAATTTGGGCCCAAGTGAGAAAGCTGGCCACTTTCTAACAGCACACGTGCCCAGCAGAGGGCCTGATACATGGAATATTTGTGGAATTGAACAGATTTGAAAATAGTGGGTGGACTAGGTAACTCAATAAGCAAGGTCTTAAGTCAATAAAAAAAATAAAGTCAGCAAGCATTTTGGAAAATGCTCACTACTTTAAAGCCCTTATGCACACAAGGTACAGGTGTCAATGTAAGGCTCTCGTTCCCTTCATTTCCAGTCATAATATTTGCTTACAGGCTGTGGATTCCACTGCAGGCTCCTACGGTCTGATGAAGACCAGTGACAGTGACCACACCTAAGGGCTCCCACAAGTGGTTGGGGTGGGGTTGGGACATTCGGGTGTCTTATCAGAGTGGCTTGACATGATCCCTCATTTGTTATGTGCCAGTCTTCACATCTTCCATACTTAGGAGAGTCCTGTGGACTTTTGCTTTCTCTGCCATAGGAGATGTTGACACACCCGAAACCATGGCTCCCGTCATTGTGGTCCCCCCTGGCAACAGAAGCGTGGTGGCTGGGTCCAGCGAAATCACCTTGGAATGCATAGCCAATGCCAGGTATGTGGTTAGTCATCCCCTGAGGATACGAATCCATTATTACTGTAATGAGATGACTCTGGTGGAAAGACACATCACCATGTGCTTCCCCTCTAGCAGTGGTGGTCTGGTTGGTCCACCAAGTCTACATGAACAACATGCATGGGAAGATGGGGAACTGAATCTCCAAGCCTGGTATCCCAGTATTTACGTTGAATGTACCATTTATACTGGAAAGCCCTGCTTTCAGTTTAGCTGTGGGTGCTGGCAGAGGGCCTCTGGGAGTCCAGCTGAATTCAAGCCAGGAGTTCAATCCCATGGATACAAAGGAAAGAGTTAACCCCTCTTCTCTTCTGCAGTCCTGGGTGTTCTTGGCCCAGTGAGTGGTCCCTCCAGAATACGGTTCCCGTCATTGTGCCTCCCATGTAGCCAGGTCCCCTAATAGTATTTATTTTAAACATTCTTTTCCTGAGCAAATGGAATCATTAGCACTTATGGTCCATTGCTGCTGCAATTAGCTATCCTTGCTCAATAGCCCTTGAGCAGAATGTATTGTTGATGCATGCCGTAAGGGAGTCAGGCCGTATCGGGATTGATTTTTAAATGTCCATTGTTCAACCCGCCATGGTTCCTGGTAGAATTAGCTTTGTCAAGCTTGTGCTGAGGGCCTGAAATTATTATTATTGCCATCTGCATGATTCACCATCTTTGTCACTAATGCCCTGCGTCCTCCCAGGCCCATCCAAGAGCTGCATGTAAACTGGAAGAGGAACGGGGTGAGGATCAGTGGTGGGCTCCACAGCTTTGGGAGGCGCCTCACCATCGGCAACCCGACGTCTGCAGACACTGGGCTGTACGTCTGTGAGGCAACGCTGAGTGGGAGCACCTTCGACGCAGCCACAGCGAAAGCCTTTCTGTCTATCATAGGTAATGCTGGGCGGCAGACGGCACACAGTCCCTGGGGAGCAGCCCACAGGGTGCTGCCTCAGAAGCAGCCTGGGAACATCCGTGCCTCACCTGCTCCCTTTGTAACTCAGAAAATGAGGGTGAAGTGGAGACTACCTTCCAGATTCACCCCATTTTTCTTTTTCCAAGAATATAAGCCTGCTAGACCCAAAGCACTGATGTTCTAAATGCTTCCAAGAAATGTTATTCTGGATACTAATGATCACCAAGCTTGGGGAGTGGTGTAGTAATGTCCTTGTCACATATATCCCCTTCTTGTACTGGCCTATTTGCCACTAAGCTTCTCTGTAGCCCTCACGGGGCTGTTAGAGTCAGTTTTCAGAGATTATCCTATTACTGGTAGTTTTTGACCCAGAAAAAAAACAAAACAAAACAAAACCTTTGGAATACTAGCTTCTATTAAATTAAAAGGTGAGAATAGAGCTGCTTCCCAGGACATGTGTGAAGGGTCCAGGGAGAGCAAGAAGATGAGATTGGGCACACAGGACTCGCTCTAGACACTGGAACATGTCCGTGTTCAGGGTAAGTGTGTTGTACAGTGACTAAGGGGATCCTCAGTGTGCTTTCAGATTATGGTAAGATTACATTACATTGTGAAGCAAGTGCCTTTATTTCTCATGCTTCTTCAGCCTCTGTAATACCTTTAGTCTTATTAAGTAGCTGTGGTCACTTTCGCTGTGACCCATCCAGCAGGGTGGTGGCCGCTGCAGATACGAGGTGCCATGGCAGCTGACCCCAGGGAGCAGAATCTTTGCCTCTTCTCTCCTTTTCAGGAAGAAGGGAAAAGGATGAGAAAGGTCAAATCAGCAAGGAGCCCTGGGGAGACCAGTGGCTCCTCACATGACATATTTTGCAGTTTGCCACTTTACCAACTAAAAAAGAATAAAAGCTTGTATTTTCCAATGAAATGAGCAAGAGTATCCAAAAATACTGCATAAAAGGCAGTTTGCCTTGCATGCATCACTCCTTTCTATCATGAAAGGAGTGGCCTGAAAACAACTCTACCAAATACACACAAGCCTGTCAGTCCCTCTGAATGAAGCACAAAAAATCTTTAAAGTATCAGGAGAACAGGCCTTGAGTCACACGTCGTGGCTAACTCCGCATGAGGGGACTGAGCCAGTTTTCTTGCTGCCTCTCTCATTGTACTTCCACATGGAGGGCAACACCAAGGTCCAATTCCCTGTGAAGACTTTCCCATGACGGCCCTTCCATAGCGATGTGAGCACAGCACATTATAGACTGAACCAAAATTAAAATGTGTGACATGTCAATCTCCAGGGGACAGGACTAGATTGTCTTAAAACATCGTAAGGTAATTTAAACGAGAAGAAATCTATCTTCCCGTAAACTAGAACATTTGTATCCATCATACTTCCGTTTGTAAATATTTGAATCTATGTTATGAGCTTTGGTTTTGCACTTACAACTGAATTCTGAAGCAGACTGTTCATTGCTCTGTGTCCCAGCTTTGAAAGGTACACAACTCTGTGTCTTTATGATGTTGATTTACATTCCCTCTTATTTACAAGGATGTGCTCTGACAGGTGGGATTTTGTGGTGGAATCATCTGGGGAGAGCCCTGAGAGCACCTCTGTGAATCCTGAGTGGCGGTCTGGGAGAGAGGGTCCCCCGCGTGCTATGAGGCCGGGCAGGGAGCTGTCCCCGCAAGCAGGCGGATGTCAGAAGGCGGAAACACGCTGCCTTTCAGTTACTTTCATCTCAGCTGACGAGACAAGACAGGGCAGTGGCGGCTGTTTCTTCCGTCTGTCAACTCTCCTGGCATCTTGCTTAATTTCCAAGGCCTGAACAGGAGCGCAGGCAGCGTCATCCCGCGGGCAGTCCTGGTGGCTGTCCATGCAGCAGGGGGCACAGGCCTCCTGGGTCCACGTTCCCCTCTGTCTCTGCTCCACTCCGGCCTGCTGCTATTCCTGGGCTCTTTGCCCTGCTGTCCACCTGTTCCCTGAAAGCCCCTGACTCCCTGCGCCACTCAACACCCCACGTGCTGAGGCAGACACCTGACGGGCCCCCTTCCCCTCCTGGCTTCAACTCCTGGCACCACCATTCCTTCCTCATGCCCCCATCTGGCCACTGGAGCCAGATGGGTTGGAAGAACTGGCTCTAATGGACGGGTGGATAAATAGCGGCGCTCTCTCCCTGCTGTGATGAGATGCAATCTGGAGGTTGTGCGCCCCCTGGCTTCTAGTGTCCCCAGTAGATGAGCTGACTTGGTGGCATGCTCATGTCAGCTCACCTCCCTCTCCTGGTGGTGTTTCTATCACCTATCAGATAAACCAGGGGCAGTGAACCTTGTCTTCCTGTCTGCTTCTTGGAGAGGCCAACCCAAGGCTCTGAGTGTCATCCATCAGACTCTGAGCATCCGTGCCTGCCTGTGCTTGAGATGAATGCCTTTCCGCCCCAGGACTCACCTTACCTGGTTGGTGAATCTGTCTGTCCTTCAGCACTCCTCCCAGCTGTTGCCCTGCTCTCAGCTGTGCTCCAGAGAGTGTGGGCACCCTGGGGGTCAGCCACATACCACATGTGATGGGCTGGGCTGTGGGGACACACTTGGGCTCAGACTCTCTCGGCACCACTCACGGACTCAAACGAGTCCCTCTGCCTCTGTTGGCCTCAGTTTCTACAACTATAAACTGTAGACAAGGTAGGAAATGAGACTGGTTCATACTGTGGACAGTAAAAGTAGTTTGGGCCACAGAAGCACAGAAATAGCAGCTTTATTAGTTCTTGGTAGTTATATCACCTGTGGCATTGAATTAGTTGTTTACCAACAATTAGTTGACACACATTTTCCACCTTTACTGTACCTGAAATCAGGATGTGTCTCACAATCCCTGGAAGCCTTTTTTCTCGGGGATAAGTAAAAGGACAACGGCTTTTACCCACAACTGCAACATCTCAGATTCGGTGAGAAGCAGCGTGTATGTCTTCCCATCCAGACTCACAAATGACATTGTCTCCTGTCACTGCCGTTCACACACTTACCTGCTTCTGTGAGTGGCCGCATCCCCACGCACTGGCTCCCCACCCCCCACCCCCAACAGCGCACTCAGACACGCATCAGGGTGAGTCTCTGTGTGTCTCGGTCAGTTCTGGTTTGCATACACAGATCATTCAGGAGTTCCAGTACCATAACTATCAACAAATCACAGATTATGTGTATCATCTCCTGGCTGACAGGAATACCACAGTCAAGAAGTATATCTATTCCAGAAGGTCTTCTAGAGCTGAGACTGAGCCACCCTTTAGTGTTTGGATCCCAACATAAAATGCTTCCCTTCCTTCCTTCTTCTTCCTTCCTTCCTTCCTTCTTTCTTCCTTCCTTCCTTCCTTCCTTCCTTCCTTCCTTCCTTCCTTCCTTCCTTCTTTTCTTCCTTCCTTCCTTCCTTCCTTCCTTCCTTCCTTCCTTCCTTCCTTCCTTCCTTCCTCCCCTCCTTCTCTTCCTTCCTTTCCCACTACTACTCCTTGGGTCTACATCTTCTACACTGTGCGTAGCTGTGGCCCCCACATCAAGGACTCTGGTGTGGAAAGCAGGCTGTCACAAGGTGCTTATGGCAGCACAGAGGGCGCGCCAATGGTGGGAAGGGGCACCTGACCTCGTGCACCAAGTACCAGGGGTGGAGGCCCTCTGGGAATCTGAGCGTGTGGCCAGAACAGAGCCCTGTGGTGGCCAAACCCTCTACTCCTGTCTTATAACCCATTTGTGTTGGTTTGGATGAACTCAAAATGTCTTCTTCCCTCTTTTACATATGGGTAGTGCCCATGTTAATCATAAGTGCCCTGTCACAGCTGGAACTTACCTGTACAGCAGGTTAGGACCACATGAAGCCCAGAGGCAAACACCAGTGGTGCTTGGGTTGTCTGCTCTGAATGGAGGATCGGCAGGCCAGCTGTGACCCTGTGGGACGGAGCAGGGTGCACTCGGTAGGGAGCCACAGGGGTGTGCCTTCATGTACCATCTGTCCTTCCGGGCTCCCTGGCTGTCTCTGCCCCTTGCTTATCTGCCAGCCATCTGTGGACCCCACGGTGTGTGCAGGACACTGCTAAAGTGCCAGCCTGGCAAGAGAGGATGAAGGGAGGATTTGCAAAGATGAATGGAACACACCTGCTCCCCCGGAGGGCTTCAAGGATTTAAGATCCTTGGTAATCTGTAGCTCTCCTTCTAGCAGATAGTTTTTAAGTGTCTCCTTGGAGGGTCACTTGGGTGGCTCAGTGGTTGAGTGTCTGCCTTCAGCTCAGGTCATGATCCTGGAGACCCGGGATCGAGTCCCATGTCGGGCTCCTTGTAGGAAGCCAGCTTCTCCCTCTGCCTGTGTCCCTGCCCCCCCCCCCTCTCTTAGGAATAAATAAATAAAATCTTTAAAAAAAAGTGTCTCCTCGAAAACTGGGCCAGGCACTCTCCGAGGAAGGCCCAGTGTGGAGGGGGCATCCTGTGCAAGGAAGCCGGGAGGACCCTGCCAAATAAAGAATTCTAGGGCTGATCTTGAAGGCCGACTCGGGATTTGCCAACAAGGCGAGTGTCTGCTGTGCAGGAGGCAGTGTGGCTGTGGGGCTGCTTGGGCCCCACAGTCCTAGGGGTGGGCTCCGTCAGTTTCTCTGCCATAGCCTGATGAATCCAGCGTCAAGCCTTTGGGATGACCACCTTCCTGGGGGCTTTCAGGGAGAATCCGCTTCCTGGTTCACTCAGGATGGGCAGGATCCAGGGCATAGGATTGAGAGACTGGGTCCTCGCATCCTTCCTGGCTATTGGTTGGGGCCACTATCAGGTCTCAGAGGCGCCCTGCTCCCTGTGGCTTAGGCCACCTTCTCCACAGCCAGCAGCACCAGCCAGTTCTCATGCTGTGGATCTCTGAATTCCCTCCTTCATCTCCTCCTCCAGCGGCAGCAAGGCCACTGCTTTTAGAGGCTCTGGTGATGGGACTGGGCTTGCCCAGCCAACCATGACCACCTTTCCATTTTAAGATTGACTCCCTTAGCCATACCTGCAGAGGCCATCTTGCCAGGTAGCAGGACGTGTTCACAGGTCCTGGTGACCAGGGAGGTGAACACCTGGGGGGCCATTCTTCCCCTCCCAGTGGACCAAGATACCATGTGTGGATGACGGTGACAAGTCAAGGACACACCCTGGGATGAGATGGTCATTCTGGAAAAGAATAGGGAGCATCCTTGGGTCTTGTGGTAAGTCCTACATGTGAGGCCTTTGGCAGGAGAGCATGAGGAATCCTTGGGACACATGGACCATTTGCCGTAGCTGCCTCCATGAGGCCATCATGAGTGCTGTAAGGCCCTGGCATTTGGGAGAATGGGGGAATTGACAGAGGCCCCAGGTTCAGGCGTCCTGGAAAGCATCCCACCTCCTGTTCTGAGACTAGGACAGTGGAGCATGATCAGCATGGCTGGCTGCTTCTCAACACGGGATGGGAACATTTTCCTGATGTCTTCATCTTGTTTCAAGAGGGGTAAAAGTGTGAGTTTCAATCCTCAGTTTTATTGGCTACAGTTGTGATAAATTTTTAAGTCTAGTGTGCACCGATATTGGCAGTGTGCCCTTTCTAGAAAGGGTTGCTGCCAATTAGCTAAGACACACACTTCCCCCTCAGAGGTTAATTGGTTGCAAGAGTTTGTGCACAAGACAACTAATTCATGACACATTATTCAACCCACAACCCTTTCATTGTGGATATGCCTGGTGTGCCCCCTACTTTTGTCCTTGCAGCTGACTACGTGTAAAAGTAGCTGTGGGTCAAGAGAAAAAAATCTGAGTACCTGTTGAGTTACGTTGATATGAAGGGTCAGGAGTGAGAGAACTCATAACACATGGATGGTAGGAAAAGAAATAAAATTACCATCAGAAGCCACATGGGCCTTTCAGGACCTTGGCAGCTGTGCACCTACTCTGCTTCACTCACCCACCTGGAAAAGTTTCAGGAATGAGGCGGGAGCATTAGTGAATGAACAAACATGCTCTGCCCACGCCACTCCTGGCCTTCCTAGTTGTCAGCTACTAAAACCTCCCTGATCATTGGCTCCAGAGGAGAGAGATGGCACTTTGCAAGCTTTGGCAGGATGCCCTTCCAGACTGTGCCCAAGGAGCCTGGCGGCCCTGCAGTTGGTACTGCAGAGCATGTGGGGCAGGTGAGTTTGTGCCAGGCTCCCATGGTAACTGTCTAGGATGGGGAATAGCAGTGTTCACACGAATGACCTTGGCCAGGCGTCTCATGTGTCCCTGCCCCAGAGCCTTGCCTCTGCTCAGCTCCAGCATGCTTCGGGCAACTGTGTGATGAGCACTCTTGTCTTTGACCCCACGCTAGGTTCCTCCCCAGGCACTTGGCGGAGCCTGGGTGGCACTGCAGAATAAGGAAGAGTGGCATCAGGACACTGGCCATGGTGCCAGATAGTATCTGTGCCCAGTGCCTGGGGGAAGGCCTTTTGGTCCTGGTGATATTACCATTTATATGTGCTGGGTTTTGTTATCAAAGTGTACTTCCTCTGGGATGAATCCCAAGGGATTTGGGCCAAATGAAAATCAAAATGTTACATACTGTGCATGATTCCATGCTTATATTATTCCTGAAATGATAGGATTACTGATGGAGAACAAATGAGTGGTTGCCAGAGGTGAAGGATGGGATGTTGGGGTGGCCATGGTCATTAAAGGGAAGCGTGTGAGACCCTTGGGTGATGGGCCCATTCTGCCTCTTGATTTTTTTTTTTTGAGGGTCCAAGAACAGATTTTATTTTATTTATTTATTTTTTAATTTTTATTTATTTATGATAGTCACAGAGAGAGAGATAGGCAGAGACACAGGCAGAGGGAGAAGCAGGCTCCATGCACCGGGAGCCCGATGTGGGATTCGGTCCCGGATCTCCAGGATCACGCCCTGGGCCAAAGGCAGGCACCAAACCGCTGCGCCACCCAGGGATCCCCCAAGAACAGATTTTATTGCAGGCACCCTCGGGCGAGGTTCCACGACTCACGGAGGGAAAGAGTGAGTCAGGGAAGTCGCGCCAAGACAAGATGGCAGGGGGTTTAGGTAACGTTGTAAGGCAGAACGGTTTCCTATTGGTTGGCTCATATGCAAAGGAAGGATTGCAATCCAACCAGTCAGAGTGACCCTCCCTATGCAAAGGAAGGATTGCAGTTCGGTCAGTCAAAGGTGACTTCCTCCTCTGGGGTTTGAAGGGCATTGGGTCCGGTTGGGGAAGTCCAAAGGAGAGGTCTAAGGGTCTGCGTCAAGCTGTCAGCAGCATTGGCGTCCCAAGTGGAGGTAGTGACAGGAACTTCAGCCATTTTGGGGTATCCGCCATCTTGAGGAGTTTCCCTTCCCGCCTGGCCCCAACATTCCGACCTTTTGTTTTATATAATGGTGTCGGGGGCGTCGACTCTGCTCTGGCTACTTCCTGCTGACGGTGGGGCGTCGTTGTAGGGGTAGTCGGATGTGGGCAGGCGAGAGTATGGGTGAAGTAAAAGTTGGTTGACAGATACCCGGGTGAGTTCTTGCAGGCGTTCCCCAAGGAGTCCAGTGGCCCCAGCAGAGAAAGAGAGCGGAGTCCCAGTCCGACGGAGGAGGAGAGAGCCTCCGTGCTGTTGCAGGGGCTCGATCTCCTCCTGGGTTTCGGCACCAAATGTTAGGTTTTTTGGTAACTAAATGGAAATGAGACCGCCAAGGCAAGCGAGGGTCCAAGAACAGATTTTATTGCAGGCATCCTCGGGCGAGGTTCCACGACTCACGGAGGGGAAGAGTGAGTCGGGGAAGTCGCCCCCATTCTGCCTCTTGATTGTGGGTACATGGGCCCATGCACTGGTGACATTGCCTAGGGCCAAACCTGCACACACCCATGCGTGCCCACATATGCATACAAGCAGAACGAGGGAGGTGAGAGTAGGGTAGGTCCCCTGTTTTGCTGTCAGTGTCTTGGGTGTGATGTTGGGCTGTAGTTTTGCAGGATATCACCATTGAGGGAAATCAGAGGATGCCTAAGATCTCTATTATTTCTTACAACCATGTGGGACTCTGCAATTATCTCAAAATAAAATGTTTAATTTAAAAAAGGACAACCGTAATTAGCCACGGGCAAATGTTGACTCTGTCACTTAGTCTTTTTTTTTTTTTCTTTTCCCTCACATCCCTTTCATCACACCATGGAGGTAGATATCGACTTTAGTATTCACTGATGAATATAGGGCATGACCCACACACAAGGGCTGCGACAAGATGCAGCTCCTGTATAGTTGGAATATAAATTTTGCTGCTGTCATGATTATTAATGAAGGAAACATGGCTGAATGTGAACATGTGAGTGTGCAGTGGAGACCAGCTTGAAAAGAGACCATGAATCTTTTCAGTGTGTCTTTCAACCCAGTCTGCGCACACCCAAAACCCATTAGAGGGCTCTGCAGCCTCCTGGTGAGTATACAGCCCCAGCCTCAGGCAGATGACCTGAGTCCAAGTGACCCAGGTCATCGCAGACAGGGTGCCAAACTCCATCTCCATGGAGAAACCTCCAGCCTTCTCTCCTTCATTGCGTCTTTGAAACACTAAGTGTTCATCGCTCTTTGCTCTCCTGTGTGTTCCACCCTGTTTTAAAGACCTGGTCAGGGCAGCCCCGGTGGCTCAGCGGTTTAGCCCCACTTTCAGCCCAGAGCATGATCCTGAAGACCTGGGATCGAGTCCCACGTCTCCCTCATGGAGCCTGCTTGGAGCCTGCTTCTCCCTCTGCCTGTGTCTCTGCCTCTCTCTCTCCCCTCTCTGTGTTTCTCATAAATAAATAAATAAAATCTTTAAAAAAAAAAAAAAAAGACCCGGTCAATGCAGGAGGCATGCCAGGCTGCACTACCCACATCACACACAGCCACAGTGGAAATCAGCCACACAGGAAGACAGTGCCCCGAAATTAATTATCACACAGACAGTGAATACAACAGCCTTTTGTTACCAAAATAATGAAATCACTAGCACCTTCATACTGAATGAATCTGCCCATGCCACTGTGGAAGTTCTGCTGAATAAACTGAGGAAAAATATTGCAATTTACTCTCCAAGGAGATTCACTGTTTAATACACCCACTATTTTTTTGTTGAAAAGGCGAGGGGAGTATCTAGAGATATACAAGCAGTGGAGTTTTCTCTGCTCCTAAAGATGGATGAGAGGCCCTTTTTCTTTCTTCTCTTAGCTATTATTTAGCTTTCCATTGAAGTATTAAATCTATATTTTGGAGAAGAAGAACCGCTAAGACTTTAAAAAAATATGTTAATGGGCCACCCCATTCCCTGACACAGGCCCCATCCCCAGCTGTGGCGCTTTATTTGACATGCTCCACGCATCAGAGTTTGGTTTAGATACTGAAACAAACTAGCCTATAAAACACTGTGCTGTAAATATAAACTTTTATGAACCTCCCGGGATAGTCCTTCTAAAATGTGAATTAAGATATTCCATGATTCAAGCCCGTAAACGGAAAAGTAGCCATCACCCTGAGTAGTAATTTGCTTTCTGAAACCCTAGAACATAAACCACCTTTGGACTGAATTCTGAGTTTGTGTGTACAATGGCGATTAATGAACTTTCCAGAAATAGTTTTTAAAAGGAGTTCCAACTCTTGCAGATCTCCCGAAATACACCTTTTGCTTAGGGGCTATTTTGTTTTTTTCTTTTTTAAAGAGCCACCGTATTTCACTGCTGAGCCCGAGAGTCGGATTTTAGTGGAAGTGGAAGAAACTGTGGACATCGTGTGTCGAGCCATGGGTGAGTGTGGGGAGGCTGTTCCATAGGCTGTCGTGAGACAGAGGAATGGAAGTGGCACTTTCATCATCGTAGGGACACACATTGACTGTGATGTTAGTGACAGGGCTTTTGGATCCTAGTAGAACTCAGTTACCAGCCATGTGACCTTGAGGAAGGTGACCTTGATTTTGCTGAGCTTATCCTCACCTGCAAAGCAGAGATAGTAATCCCCACCCAAGAGGACAACAAGGAGGCCTTCACCCCATCCGTCTCGACAGAGAGGGACAGCCTTGTCCTCTCCACCCCTTCAAGTGCTCTGGTTACAGGACTTAGGGCAGGAAACGCTTTCTCGTCTGCAGGGTAATTGGGACTGGTGACCAGGTGTGCTCTGTAGTAAGATAGATTGTTTTAAATTCTTTGAACAGGAAATCTTCTTCTCTTCTTCTCTTCTTCTCTTTTCTTTTTTCCTTTTACAGCTTTGGGTTGCTTTTTCTTTGTTATTCCTGTAATTTCGCCCCTCATCCCCAAGCCATGACTGGGAGCTATCCACCGTCACTAGTACCCTGTCAGGCAGCACAAATAACTATACTAACCCCCCTAACAGAGACAGGCTTTTTGAAGGCAATTTCATTAACAAAAGATATGCTAGTGCCCTGGAGACTGTCAGTGAAAAGGACCTATTTTTTTGTTGTTTTGTTTAAGCTGTCCATCTTAAGGATGAATATTTTATTATAAGAGCTCAGAGGGTAAGGATTACTAACAATTTTGTAAATTTTCAAAACAGCTCCATAAAACAGATACTATTATCTCAGAGTACACATACAAAAATAAGACCTTAGAAAGCGAGGTTACGTAACATGCTCGAGGCACAGAGCCAGGGAGATGAGATGAGATACTTTTTAAAATCATGGCTGGGCATCTGGCATTTAGGAGCTGCTCATTAAATACTGGACAACCTGCCAGGGGTCACATGGCAACGGAGATAGGATCCAAACCGAGACCCATCAACTACCAAAGCAAGGGCTTTGGCCATGGCACCTGGCTTTTCCAGGAGAGCTAAGGTCCTGGGTCCTTGAACCCATGCCACCGATCCACAGCCATGGGCATGCCATTTTCCATCTCTGAGAAGTTGCTGGGGTGTCCTCTGAACAGTGCTGATGGCTCCTGCAGAGATTGGGGTCTGCTGTAGGCACCCTTCTCTACCCACTGTGCTTCGGCCCAGAGCATGTCTCCTGGGGGGCTTGGTTCCCAGCCCCAGGGCAGCTTACAAGCTCGAGTTCGCTGCTGACAGATCAGCTCTGCTGCCATCCTTCTCTGTTCAGGATCCTGGGGAGGGGTGGGGAGAGAGGAATGTGAGCTTTACGTGGAAATAGCTCCCTCTCTGTGGGTAGCACTGCTCTCTTCCTGGTATAAACACAGGTTTCTAAGGTCAGCGGTGGTCTGGAAGTGAAGCTCCACAGTATTTAGAGTGCTCAGATTTTAGAAACCAGGATCTACGCTACTGCAGTGGATAAGACTCCTGTTAATAACACTACATCACCCCAAAATAGAAAGACTTCCAGTTCCCTGTATACTAACAATTATTTTTCGATAAATGACAATCTTAAGCTCTTCCCTTGACAAGAGAATGTTCTCTTTTGCGTGATTCCTACAGGGTAAACTGCTTGTTAAATACAGACTTGTAAATATATACTGAACAGGCCTTTCAACGTTGCCATCAGATAATTTACTGCTTTCTTTTAATTTTGACAATGAAACTATAGCAGCATGCGAAGTGGTTACTCTTCATGAAAGCTACATCATGTAATTGCTCTTAGGAGATTTTACATGAATTGGTTATGCTTTTACCTTGAAATGGATTTTTTTTAATTTCCTGATTTAATGAAAAGTGACAGGAAACATAATTAAGGCAAAGAACAGAATCTGAGAATACATTATCTTGAAATATTCCACATTAACTTTATTTATTAAAGAAGACATCTTACACCTACATAGCATCTGAAATCAAGGCACTTGGGTGTGCTTTTTACCATGAATCATGTCGAGAGGTGTTTTGTTTAAATTAATTTCCTAGGTAGGGAAACCAAGGTACAGAGCCAGCCTAGACATTCCTGTGCGTTTCCCGTGGGCCCAGAGCAAGTGTACACACCCCCTACATAGTTCAGGACTTTGTTGTCTTGTGTGCTTTGGTGGAGTTTCTGTGTACAATCTGTCATGTCTATCCCACTTAGCCCTCTTCAGTGGCTTAGGGCGGTCAGAGAAGTGCCACGGAAGCAGTGTCCCCTACTGCTCATCACACAGGCCTCCCAAGGGCACTGCCCAGGGAAGGAGCCTGGCATCTCCTCTGTTGGGGCTTGTCCCGTGCATCATCCTCGCCCAGGTTCTGTGTGCTGGGCACAGCCATGTGGCAACCAAGCAACAGAGGTCCTCACACTCTGAGGCTGAGGACAGTCCTATCCTTTACAACTCTGGTTCTGCCCCCATGAGCTTGTCCTTTGTCTCCTGCTGCTTTCCTCCCAAACCCAGCCTCACCCTCCATCAGGTGGGCCCACAAGGTGGCACAGAGCTCCGGTCCCAATGACCAAGGCCTGGGCTTTCACCATGACATTGTTAGGATGAAGAAGGCAAGCCCAGCCTCAGTCTGACTCTCCCATCCTCCTGGTCAAAGCATTAGCCTAGCTCTGGATGCCACCAGCTACTAAGGACAAAGATGGCACCTCACCACCTGATGGTCTCACATTTGTCTCCGGGGCTGAGGCAGCTTTTCCTGCGTGCATAGTTGAATGTCCCTCATGTCTTCTCAGCCTCTACCCCCATTTATCTTCTTAACTGCAGCCATCCTCCACTGCTTAGATCCTCAGCAGGGGGCAGCTGAAAAGACAGGATGTTCATGTGGTTAATCTTCCCAACAGCCTTTTAAGGTTGCAATGACTACTTCCTTTCCAAATGTGTCTTCTGCCCTGGTGGCCCTTCCCCAAACCTCGAGTGGCAGAGTCAAGCACTGCGGAGCATCAGGGACCTTCCTCCCAATCCCTGTCTGCCCCCCAGGTCTGTCACAGTCATGGCCAGAATCCCTTTCTCTCCAGACTGGTGCAGAGACCAGCACAGGCTCGGGAGGGGGGTGGGTCCAGAACAGTCTGTAGCCCGGCATCAAGAGTTCATCCCTGCCCTTCCTCTTGCTGCTTTACTGTGTCTACTTCTTCCTAAAAATGAGAAAAATAACACTGAACAGGGTGCACGAAGGGAATCAGACTAAAGATATCACTGAAGTATTGCAACATAGCCTTGGAAACATTTCACCTCAACCCTCATGTAAAGTGTTTGAGATTTAATTTTTTCAAATGCCCAATTATTTCCACTTCCACACAGGAGTCCCTCTTCCCACCCTCCAGTGGTACAAGGATGCCATCTCCATCAGCAAGCTCCAGAATCCCCGATACAAGATGCTTTCAAGCGGAGGCCTGCGCATCCAGAAGCTGCGCCCAGAGGACTCCGGGATCTTCCAGTGCTTTGCCAGTAATGAAGGAGGGGAGATCCAGACCTACACCTACCTGGATGTCACCAGTGAGTACTGCCCCTCAGCAAAGCCAGACCATCCAGGCAGGGCCCTCAGGCCAGAGCTTCCCGGCCTTTGTGTATATGATATGCTCAGAAAATGGCAGCATCTGCTCAGCCAATGGACAGGGTGCGGAGGCCAGAGGCGACCATCTGTGAAGAGCCACAGCTCAGGCCAATAGGAGCCCACTTGCTAAGCCCCACAGAAGCCCCTGGGCAGCAGATACAGCCTGTTGTCCCCAAGCCCTGGAGTCCAACCTGCTCTCATGCGAGCCGAGCCCTCCTCTCTACTGAGAAGCAGGGGAAAAAAATATCTCCATTTTTCTGGACAGAACTAGAAGGACTGTTCAGTGAATAGTTCATCCCTAATCTTTTTCTTTTGATCTTTTCCCCATTTTTTATATTCATTTTCTATTTTAGTTTTATTGAACAATTATAGTTCTTCTCTAAGTTTCTTTTATTATCCCATTAGCAGAAATACTTTGGCACTCTGTCTTTGAAAAATAAAATGAAGGCAAAGGTTTTCACTGTATCTGTGGGTTTCCTTTTTCATCTCCATGGTTGTAATATTATTCTTCTAAAATAAAGTAGAATCATGTTTGCCCTTTTGGAGGCAAAATGCGGATATCCTCAGGTATGAGAGCCATTTGAAAAAGTAAATCATATAAGTATGCAGATGGCTCTTATCTACCAGAACTTATGAATTTAAGGATTCCATGCATCTATTTTGGTCAAGTAGGAGTCACTTCCTTGAACCTTACCCAGGGGTCAAATTTGGCCTCTGGTTTGGAGCATAGGAAACCAGTATCACTACAAACAGCAGGAAAAATATTGGGTACTTAAGCTGGAAGCTGAGTTTCGATCAATTAGAATTATTTAAAGCATATGTTATGAGTGTTAGCCGGGAGGGGCACAAATGAGCAAACTTTTTCTTCCTCTCTTTTTTTAACTTTATTTTAATTGCAGTGTAGTCAACATACAGTGTTAGATTAATTCATTCATTTAACAAACATTTACTTAACATCTGTGTCAGACACTTGGGTCTGTCACGCTTGGGAGCAGAGCTCTGAGGAAGACATGCGAGGTTCTTGTGCTTCCACGATAGAGGTCATGAAGTAGGGAGACAGATAGCAGAGGAGGAGATAATTTAGTCAGGGATAAGGGCAATGAAACAAGCAAATAAGCGAGGCCCAGGGTGATCAGGGAAGCCTTTCTGAGGGTGGTCAGGGAAAATTCCCTGAGATGGTAACAGAACTGAAGCTCAAAGGTACAAAGTCTTGGGGGATGTGCATGTCATGGGATGAGGTGGGGGGGTGCTACAAGTGCCTTCCAGGGACAGGCTTGGGGTGATGTGTGCACAGGGAGCAAGGAGACAAGTAGGGACTCAGTCTGAGGAGGAGCCAGGGGTCATGGTAGGAGGTAGGTTGGAGGGATAAGCAGGGCAAAGGCCCAAGAGCCAGTGGGAGGATTTCAAGGGATTTTATCAGGAAGTGGCAAGGTGTCCTTTATAGCTTCCAAAGGGCACCCAAGGCTGAGTGTAGAACGACCAATGCAGGGAAGAATGGAAGGCTTGGGACCAGGTAGGAAGCCACTGTCCTGTCCACGAGGTAGCCCCAGAGATGGAGGGAAACTGTGGGCTCTGGGATTTGCTGTAGGGACGGCACCCGTGGGACTTACATGCTGTAGGGATTCCTGCTGGTGAAAGGAGAGGTAACACCAGTGCTTTGGTCTCGAATCCCATTCACTCGAATCCCCCAGTGCAGGCTCCACACGGGCCCTCACAGGATTTGGGACATGCAGATCCCCATTCTTCAGAGGTTTCCAGTGTAATCATTATTAAAGTAGTACAATGTCATGAGCCCTTGCTGAAGCCAGCCTGAGCTACCCCGACTGTCTCGGTCTGATTCAGGGCTCTTGGGAGCTGGAGGCCCAGGCCGGTCCCCCAAGGACAAGAAGAGCCCCCAACACTTGGGCCTAGGACACTTCCTGGAAATCCCTCACTGAAGTGCCTGAAATCTGGTTATTTTATGAAAGTGTCATCTCTTGGGTCATATTTAATATTCAAAAATCAGCTTTTTCTACTTTTTAAAAGTAATAAAAGCAAACTTGTTAGATTTATCTAAATAAATGTCTCCTATCTCATTAATGTTCATCTAAAACAGCACTCTCGGGGCTCCCCCACTCTTGCCCTTGTGTGTCCATCACATCATGAAACTGGATTTCTCTTTAAGCTGTAAACACAGGCAGCTCCTGGGGGACACGTGATAGAAGGTTATAGTCACTCTTTCATCGCTGCACTTACTTCTGTGATTAGTCCTAGGAAAGTCCATATGGGCCGCCTCAGCAGGCAAGTCTGAGCATGAGTGAAGGACAGTCCACTGAGCATCTCACTCTTCACTCCCACTTAGATGTTGCTCCAGCATTTACTCAGCTTCCTGTGGACACCACGGTTACCGATGGGATGACAGCCACTCTGAGGTGTGAGGTATCCGGGGCCCCCAAACCTGCCATCACGTGGAAGAGAGGTAGGTAGCCTTTGTGGCCTCTACAGCCTGACCAACATGGGACATGAGTCCATCAGGCTGAGGCTCATGTCGTTTCCTTCCCACAGTCCTTCATTCATTCAGTAAAGACTAGAAGCTGTCCATGGGGCACCTGCCAGGTGCCAGATGCCAAAGCTTCCAGCATGAGTAAGACAGACAAGGCCCCTGTAAGCCTCATGGAGCTTACCTCCACACGATGAAACAGACATGTCTGAAAACCTGTGACTATCCTTATTTCCTACTTAAGCCTTCATAGGGCACCTTAGGCTTGTGAAGGGGCTCCCCCAAATACCAGGTAATGGATTTGGAGCAGTGCCATCAGGACCCAGCATCCCCACTTATGAAATGAAGGTCCTATTAAAAATTAAGAAAAATATCCTTATTCTTTTAAGAAAGAAAGATGCCTAAGATACACACCTGAAACCAATAGGATACATATGCCAATTATACTTCAATTTAGGGGTGCCTGGAAGGCTTAGTGGTTGAGAGTCTGCCTTTGGCTCAGGTCATGATCCCAGAGTCCTGGGATCCAGTCCTGCATCAGGCTCCCTGCAGGGAGCCTGCTTCTCCCTTTGTTTGTGTCTCTGCCTCTCTCTGTTTATCTCTCATGAATAAATAAATAAAATCTTTAAAATAAATAAACGAATAAAGGCAGAGACACCAAAGCCCGACTTCTGCCAAGGTGCCTTCTCTGTGTGTCACTTAAGCAGAGTGGTGGCAAAGGAATGAGCTTTAATAAAATAGGACACAGGGAGAGAAAGATGCTTCTGGCTCACTTGACACACATGATGCTCTCAGTTCCACCTGTTTTCAGACCCAGTGAGGAGAAGCATCACGTCTAGGACTTTCTCTGCAGTCCCAGCCCCTTCCACATGTGAGCACCCATGTCACTAAACAAACAGCACACACAGTCCCTCCTTAATAAATATGTGCTGGGTTGTGTCACTTCACGTAAATGGACCTGTCACAGTCACTGGGCCCTGTCGGGGTGAAAGTTCAAGATCTACATCTTTGTCGTCTCTCCAGAGAACCCTACATAGGCTTCTCACCTCCCTTGGGTGTAACTCATGCCCTCAGATGGTAGCTCTTACACATGAAGATCAGAGCAGCTGCAGGCCACTAAGCGAGAGGGCATTCTTCTGTGTTCTACATAGTTTTTTCTCCTGGTTCAGAACATAACAATAACTTTATATGGATATAAATACATACAGATATAAAGGAAACTGAGATCTAGTCACCCAAAGATAACAGTTGCATACATGAGTCACAATTTGTTTAACCAAATTTCTCAATTTTGGACAATTAAGATTTTCTTGATCTCGTTATCCTAAATAACACTAAAAGGAACTGCTTCGGTTATTTTTGTACATACAGTTTCCACTTTATTATGATTATTCCTAGTTATTTTCTTGGTTTTGGTGCTAACACTCCTGTCTTCTCTAATTTTCTTCAGGAAAGCATATTTTGGCCAGTGGCTCTGTGCGGATTCCTAGGTTCATGCTTCTGGAGTCTGGGGGTCTGCAGATTGCCCCCGTCTCCATCCAGGATGCTGGCAACTATACCTGCTATGCAGCCAACATGGAAGGGTCCCTGAATGCGTCTGCAGCACTGACCGTATGGAGTAAGGACCACAGGCCATGTGGAACTTCCTGTTAATCACCATGTCAGCTGTGCTTAGGGATGTCAATATGCCCTTGGACTCTCTAATTGAATCATAAGAGAATGATTATTTTTACAACTAATTTATAGAAATCTGTTGAGTAATTAATTTTTCAGTTTCTGAAAACATAATTAGAAACTGTATTCAAATATTTAATGGGGACGTTTCAGGAGAGTGAGAAGAGTGACTCTTAACAGACAGTGCCATAGAGTATATTATCCCAAACTAGTCCAAAAACTAAAGTGATAAGCGGTTTAATTTTGTGAGCTTCATAAAGGAAATAGCATCAAGAGTTAACATTTTCGAGAAAGTAAGCTTTTTCAATAATATCATTAAAACCCACTAAAACACTCCTAGTATATTAAATATGAGTGTTTTTTATATGATAGAAGTGAACTGACGAAAAATCTTTGTTATTTCTCCAACTTTTGTTTCTTTATCAAGCACACAGTTTTCTGAAATGGAGAATATATTATTCCCCAGACATAAGGATTCATAACGAAGTATTTCTGCTCCCAGCCCCCCACCTTTTGGTCAATTTTCACTCTTAGCTTTACTCGCCAGCATATCTTTTCTTCTTTGCTTCATCCATAGCTTTATTAAAAAAATAATAATAGTAAATAAATAAAAATTGTTCAAAAAAGCAAAAGACAGTGCTTACAGATTTTTATAAAGCTTATCTATCTAAAGAGAGGAAATTTTTAATTTTCTCTTTGATTTGCGTCAGTACTGGATCTGTGAAAATATGATCCTGGAAGAGAAACTGAATTATCATGCTTTATTTTGTACCATTTAGCTCTCTATCACATAGTTTGTGTCCACTTTCATATGTCCCTTACTAATTTATTAGGTATTCTAAAAACACCAGGAGTTTTAAAAAGGAATAAATTCAACCCCCCCCCACCACCACCACCATATTATCAGGTACCAAAAGAGAAGTTTTGTCCCATTTCATGGCCCACTCTGCCCACCACTTCCCATTTGGCATGTGTCCCTAACACGTTAACCTTATATTTAACAACTTGAGAAGAATTGATTTCTATATCTTTGTAGGTCACTCACCAGAAAGCTCTGTAGATCCGCTAAGATTCACATTCTCATGTCACTAGACTGATAGATATGCTCTTGTGGCCTACATTCCCCGTAGACAACAAGCTAAAGTTCACTTGTTTTTCTGGACACCCCACTACAAACAGGCTGGGCCCCAACTAGTCTTAATGACTCCCACATTTCGGGCTCCCACATTTTGGTTTGTAGGACCAAAACAGCATCCATCTCAGAGGTGTGAGGCAGGGGACCTCTACCACAGGGCCTTTGCTGGAGCCTTTGCTGTGGGGGTGGTGGCTGCAGGGCACACTGGGCCCTACCCTGACCAGAGCCTGGTGTTGGGTGAGCCACTGTGGGTCTGAGCACCACTTTCTATTCCTGAAAATTGGGAACAGTGCTCTCACAGCCCTCCCAAGGTTGTTGTGAGCATTAAATAAAACAATATAAATGGAAGCACTTTGCAAAGTCATGAAGTGCTGTGCAGACAGCAGAAATGACCAGAATGTTAATGATCTTGGGAAATAACAAAGATTTTAACCTAAGACTACAGAACCTAATAAACCTTTGCACATGATCTTCATTCTTGATGTCTTTCAGAGGGCTTAGAGGTTTGGGGAGGGCAGGCCTGACTCCTGTGGCTGCTGCCTGGGAAGGGCTGGCTTCCGATTCCCTGAGTGTTTCCCAGTACTTCCATTTACACTTGTTTTGCCAAGATGAGAGAAAACTTGGAGGTTTTTATGTCAGATGACCAGTTCCATACCCTCTGAGGGAGGAAACTCTAAAGCATGTAGTTTTGTCTGAACTGTGACTTGTGTCTTCACAGATCGCACGTCCATCATTAACCCTCCTGAGGACCGCGTGGTGATTAAGGGGACCACAGCCACACTGCGCTGCGGAGCCACTCACGACCCCCGGATCGCTCTCCGGTCAGCTCAGTTACTCACGTGTCTGGGGCTCATTTATGTTCGGGGAGCTTAGGAACCAAAGTGGAGATAAGAAGGCAGAATTTGGGGAACTTTGATTTCAGTCACAGATCCCTGATTACGACATCTCACGGTCCTGGGCTCCATCATTAATCACATAAATCCCATTTTCCACTCCAGCCTTATGTATTATTTACAGTGAGCTATGTTCCACTTCATGACTTCAGTGCAGCTTTTCATGATTTTTCTGCCAAGGTTAATACACTATCTGTAAAACATACTTGTCAGAGGCTGATACTTAATGAGAGAAAAATCCAGGGGGATCGAATAGGATTTCAGCAGTGTTTACCCTGGGCTGTGTGATACTTGGGAGGAGTTTTCTCTGCTCTAGGATGGTTTCACTGTGAAATGGGGAGCAAGGGAGACCCACACCCAGAAGAAAGGCAACCACAATCACCTGGTGCACGTCAAGGAAAATACTCGTAAAGACGAGAACTAGATGTCTTGAAGCTCCACTAAAGAATTACAATATCCCATCCTTTCCTGCTTTCACACAGGAAAGTCATGGTGGAAAACATGACCCCCCGGGTAAATCACAGCAGCAGACATGGGTGACTATGGGTGGTGAGGTTCTTCCCCAAGAGCTGCCACTTTCAGAATAGTTTTTAATTTTCAGAACCAGCCTTGAAAATCAATCTAGAAAGAAAGATACAGTCATCCCAGAATTTTCACTCTGGCCTTAGCCCAGAAGGCACACGGTTAGCCAAATGGATGGAATTGTGATGCCTTCCTTTTTTCTGGAACATCTCACTCTGAGCAGAGGGAGGTGGCTGCCACTGCATACATTATTAACTGGATTCGGAGATTAATCTGTTTTCTCACTCTTCTTGGGCAGGTGTTTGGCAAATCGTGAATTTCTGTGCCTCCACCTGGCTCTCTGGAGTTCTCCAGAGCTCAAACAACCAAGTTTGGTTTAGTCATAAGAATGTTGAATGCGAAACCAACAAATAAAAACTAACAGGTTCAAGATTACCTAGAGAATCCATGGAGGCCATCTCAGAGAGAGTTGTCATTCCCAGAAAAGAACTCATTCATTTCTAAATGGGTTGGAAGTATGATTCCAGAGAGAAAGAAGGACAAATAAGCTGGTTTACTGCTACTCTGAGAGCTTACATGGAATCCCTCTGGATCTGTGTGTTTTTCTCAGACCTTTTTATATGTGACTAGACAGACAGAATTGGAGCACCCTTCTTGAGAAGGGCTTAGATTGCTCACTCTGAGGGCACTTTTTGTCCCAGGGCTTCTCTGTCCCAAGAGCTCCAGGCCTAAGGGACAATCCGCAGCTAACATTGTACCCTCAAGTAAGCAGTTTATTCCTTTCCTTCTTGGGGTACCAGGTCTGTTGTCTCAGAGTAGTTCCAGATAAACAGTTTATTGATCTCTATGCTCTGTGCCCATTAAACCTTTAAAGAAATGGGTACATTTTGCAAATCTAAGCAAATTATTTTGGGAAGGAAAGCTAGCACCTTCATCCCATTCACTGACACCCAAAGTCTGGACAGGTTCCGAATGGCTTCTATGTTTGAAAAGAAAAATGTGCTAAAATTTTCATAAATAAAGAACCAAATGAGAAATAAATGCAATTTTTAAGGACAATCTGCCAGAATGGTTGGGTTTCAAGAACACATGTTCATGGGATATAATCTATTTTTTCTAGAAGTTGGGTGGATCCACTCAGGAGTTTGTGGACAGTCATTGCCTCCTATCCAGTCAAATCTCCTCTCCTCCAGGCACCTTCCTGGGTGGGAATGTGAAGTCAGTTATAGTAAATGACAAATAAAGTATGATCATGACATGACAGACTTCCTGTCTCTAAACCTAAAGACCAGATCAATGTTCTTAGTGATCTTCACTGACCCCTTTATAATTTTAACATCTGTTTTTGTAGTGTGACCAAGATACCTGGTTGCTTTTCCTTTTTCTTTCTTTTAGATCTATTCACATGTCATAAAATTCACCCATTGAAAAAGCACTGTTCAGTGGCTTCTGGTACATTCACAAGATGGTCAGTTGCTTGCAGCCCGGATCCTAACTCTAGACTCTTGGCTGGATCCTAACTGGGTATCTTGCCTCACTCATGACTCCCTGCTTGGCCCACAGCTATGTCTGGAAGAAGGACAACACAGTCATCACTCCATCTAGCAGTTCCAGGATTGTGGTGGAGAAGGACGGCTCCCTCCTCATTAGTCAGACGTGGTCGGGTGACATCGGAGACTACACCTGTGAAATCATCTCTGAGGGAGGGAATGACTCCAGAACCGCCCGGCTGGAGGTGATGTGAGTGTTGCTTCTGTGTAGTGTTAACTGGCTGCCCATTATCTGCAGCACTATGGTCAGCTCTCCCGACTCCAAGTGACTGGCACTTAACATGCTTGGCACCAGAGTGGGTCCCAAGCCAGAGGTCAGAGGCCATGGCCTTATGCCTCATAGGCGTACACTTACAGGGTTTGTTGGAACCTCAAAATTAACCTCAAAATTTCGCTCTTCGTTTAGATGATTTGATGCTTGGTTTTCCTCCTCCTCCTGTCTGTTTTTCTTATTTCCTACTTGGCACCATGTCATGGTGGGCCCTATTTACCACACCGCATCCACTTTGCCATGTGGTGCCCATCAGCACTTCCCTGTCGGAATGTCAGGGCCGGCTCACTGAGGTGAGACCTTTCCATGAGAGCCCACAAAACATTGTGCTGAGGGCAGAGCCAGCTGCATCTCTGCGGGTAAACAGACACTTTCCACTAAATCTCTGGAAATCCTGAAAATAACAAGCAGCTGATCTGGACTCCCTGGGGGTCTCCTGGGCCCAGGTGGGAAACCACCACCCTCCTGTATCTCTGGGAGCTCTTTAGTACATCTGCTTTCTGTTCACGGGCAGGGGCTGAGGAGCCTGCTGATAATTTCTCTTTTTCTGACATATATTTATTTGTTCTTTAAAAACGGCGTCCTCCTGGACAGTGCCTGAGCACATCCAAACAACGGTAAAATCTGGAGATAAGGCAGCAGAGCAGGGCTGGTGTCCTGGTGGCAGCCAGCTCCAGGGGCACAGGCCAGCAGCTAACATGGGCTGTGCTGGGCCATTAGAAAAGGCAATTTTGAGAAGTTTTTCTTACTAGTCTCTGTCCACCTTGATCCAGGATAGGTTCTATAGACAAAAGCCACTCCCTGAATATACAATGTGAACAGTTTGCATACAGGGCCAAGTCTCATTTGTCTTTGGATCTCTAGACTCCAGCCAAGGGGATTAAAATGAGAAAAATGCTGGCTCCGTGCTGAGCACATAGGCTCCTGTGTTTGTTGCACGCACACATGAGCAAATGAGCAGACAGGCAGCTTTGCATTAGCCTCTGTTGGTGGGATTTGATGGGTTAACGTGTAGCATCTAGTCCAGAAAAGCCTCATGTGATGCCTCTAGGACCTGGAAAAGCCCTATGCTACCTCCTCATTGGCCTCTGTAGGATGACCCCTTGTTCTCGTGTGACTAGACTTTAGTCCCTTGTCAGTCTCGAAACATCGGATGCCGCGTGGTCCCAGGGGACCTGTACAGACGGCCCTCCAGCTCCCTGAGTGTGTGTGGAAGTACCAGGTCTCCCCGCCCACCTCTGGGCCCTGGACCTGCTGACCCGGGGCCCTTTCTGCCCTCCACTTTTGCCCAGCCCTCCATCCAGGGCTTCAGACTGCTGCTGCCTCTACAGCCTGGCTTCTGTCTTCGGCCATTCCTACCTGAAGGGCTCACACCTCCTCTAGGGCTCAGCCACAGGGTCACCCTTGTGTGGGACACCAGGCTGCGGGTGTCTCCCAGCCTCCCAGCCTCCCACCCCTTGCCCCTCTGTCAAAACACTGATCGTCCTGGGTGGAAAACACCCATTTTCACCATTTCTTCCCTATGAAGCAGAAGCACCAAAATGGCATGCACAGTTTGGCATTTTGAGTGCCTGGAAGTGCTTTGGGACACCATAGGGGCTCAATAAATACATGTTGGTCAGTTGAGGCACACATGAATGAATAAAATGTGTGTAGGTGACCGGCCATTGGCTGGTCCTCCTTCTGATTGGTTCTTCCCTCTGAGACTCACACGCCCCTGGCTTTTCTTCCTGAGGGCACAGGGTCAGATCCCACTGTGGAGAGCCCTGGTGGAACCACTGTGGAGGCCCCTGGTGCCCAAACAAACCCCTGTTTGGCTCTGACCCTGTGTCTTTCTTCCTCCCATCTTTCCTCCTTTTGTCATGTTAAAAAAAAATCTTTTTTTTTAAATTTTGATAATACTGGAGTACATGACCAGCAAATTCACATAATCCACTGTGCTGTTCACATTTTTAAAACTACCTTTGAGAACTCTTAGATCATCCATCATTGGTATCAAATAAATAAGTGTTAGCATTTCATAAAGACTCTGTCAGCAGAAGCCAAATTGCATGCTTCCAATACAGTGCATGCTTTTTTATTCTGCACAGTTTTTATGTTCTACTGATTTACATATCTTCCCTTCTATTTGCTTATTTGATTTCCTCTGAGTAAAATACATTTTTCAGCAAATGTTGCTGTATCTATAAAATAATAGGCTTTCTGTAATGGTAAAACACCTCATCTCTAAATATAGAAATATTTGCAGATTTGTGATTCAAACCAATTTAGGTACAACCGAGTTGCAGAACTGATTTGGAAGACAGTGGTTCCTTGTGAATTGTGAGTGTAATAAACACTCCACTCTTGCAAATCTGAATGAATTGAGGGAGCCGTAGGTTATAGTGTGGCCTATCTTTAGATCCAAATAGGTCTTAACTCTACGACATCAGTAATGACAACAGTAATGATAATAGTCATAAGTCACCATTGCAGGGCATTTTGTGCTTCCCAGAGAACTTTCAAATCAAGCTCAGTAACATTTCTGTGATTTACTCAGATGACAAAAAAAAAAAAAAGGTGGAGGGAGTCTCATATTGCAGAAGTGACTGAGAGGTACTTACAGCTAACTAGTGTCCTTTGAAAGAGGCTGAAAGCCTGCTTCCTCTGCCTCCCTACTTGAGTTAAAAGCTACTTCGTTACATATAGAAATGAGGAGCATCAGAAGTGGGCTTTCCTAAAGCAGAGGGTGTGTGTAGCATATTCCAGCGCCATTCTCTGCGCCAGCCTGGGCGGACACAGCAGGAGGCACGGTCCCAGGTGGGCCACAGGGGCCAGTGGTGCCTTGGGAGGTGCTGCCCACCAGCCAGGTCGGGACTGGACACCCCTCTCCAGCTCTGAGTGACTATGGGCAGGTTAGCCACAACGTCTCAGCCTCAGTTTCCTCAACTGCAAGCTGCACCTGTTTTCATTGCCCTATAGGCCTGTCATGTTTGACCAAGCCAGCATTTGTAAAACCCTGGCCTGGAACCCAGCTTCAGGTGGGTACTCAATAAATCATAGCTCCTATTACTCCCTCACCGTCTTAGCAGGACGTCTTACTCCTTCATCAGGAGCAATCCGCCCACACCCGGGACCAGGAAGTTTCTCTTTTATCCTGCCTTATTTTTTACCACATTCTGTGGTATGTGTCGGACACACTATGTCTGTCTGTTTGGTGCTAAGCCCTCAATGCCTGGAATTGTGCCAGGTGCATAAATGTCCAACAAATGTCAGAGTGAGCCTCACCCCCCCCCCCTTATGAGGTTGAACTAGGCTTGTGTAATTGGTATCACGGAGAAGGACTGATTTATAAGAGGTCTGCCTTCATCACCTCCACAAAAGGCTCCCACAAATCCACACGGTCCCAGGATGTTCCCTATAAATGAACCACATGCAAGTCATCATGAAATGCCCATCACTGATTGGTTGGCTGTGTCTTTCCCACTAGTTTGCTAGTGCTAAAGCAGAGGGTGTGTGTTTTTAGTGTCCCCCAAAGTGTCTTGCTGTATTGAACACACCAGGGGGCTTCTAGGGCTTTATGTATAGAGTAATCATTAATCATTTAAAGACCCAATTAGCTTTGAATCTTTCCTTCTGAGATCAGAGACTAATTCTTAGGAGCCTTAAGTACAGAGAAAACCTAATTTATGGAGCAGACTTGCAGACCCAGACTCTGAGGCAGTGGGAGAGGTTTCTCTCAATAAAGCTACACCTGACAAAGCCATAATAAGGAGAGAACAATTTAATACCACTTCTATAGAGTTGTCAGGCCCCCACCATCTTCATCCACAGAGCGAAGTCAGAGAAGATGGCTTTGACCGGGTTATCATTTGTGTGTTAAAGGGGCAGTGTTTCCATGTAGAAAAATACTCACCTGACCCTCTATCACATCGCAAGTCCCCCTACAGCCACAATTTTGCCAATTGCTTCAAATCTTTTTCAAAGCTGTTTTCCCCAAACACACTTGGCTTAATCTCCTTCCCATACAGTCTTGGTTCCTTGTTGTTGTTAATCTCCGATGGTCTTGCAGTGTAATTCATTTGATGGGGACTTCCCTCCTAGCTTTCTTGAAATTACAGAGTGACTCAGCACCTGCTTCACTCCCATTGCTCTCAGATCCCTTTCATTTGTCACCCTGTCTGCATATTCCTGTCTGTGAGTCACTCCGGTGATCATTTATTTCCTTTCAAAGTTGGCAGAGAAACGCCAAGACACAATCTATTCCTATTAGATAAGATTCTCTCAAATGAATTCAGAATATATTAAAGCCTCATTTATTGGTTATTGATGGGTCAGTCAAGTATTGCACAAAGCTTAATTTTCCTGATAACCAAAACTTATCATTTAAAGAAACAGTTTACATTTCCATATTAAAAAGCTATTTGCATTGAGAAACGGGTAATACTGAACACAGGAGATATTACAGAGGGGTTTTTTTCTACAGGACAGAGGCTGGAACTAGGAAAAATCTCAGTTTCCTTCTGACTCTGAGTCCTGTGATGTGTGTAAAACATCACATTGTGTGTTGGGCCACCATCTTGGGCATGACTGTGAGCCTGTGAAGACTCTGTGGGGCAGTGGAGGAGGGGGGCTCATTATTTCTTGATTCATCATGTCATGTCCTTGGGCACCACTCGGCTTTTGGCTCCCTGTTCCTATGTTAAATGTCTCAAGGCTACTTTGTCTTCACGGTTCCAAAGTCTTTTCAATCTTCCCTCCATCTCAGGCCTCTGGCTGCCATTTTTTGCAGGCTCTAGGGCCTTTTTGTTGGTGGCTTTTGAGCAGCTAAGAGGAGGGACGCCAGAAACCCCTCTTACTAGAATCACATGCGGAGTGAGAATCAGCAAGCTCTGAGGGGCAGAGAGACTGCACAAGCATCCTCCAGGGGCAAGTGTTTGAGGAGTACCCTCTCACTCCAGAAGTGGCTGTAACTTGTCCACAATCCACAAAATGCTCCATCCCTTAGAAAAAAAGCTGTCTGCTCACCTGTCACAGGGATCATTTCTTAGCCCTCATTTTATTTTATATTATTTTATTTTTTAAAAAGATTTCTTTATCCATTCATAAGAGACACACAGAGAGAAAGAGAGGCAGAGACACAGGCAGAGAGAGAAACAAGCTCTATGCAGGGAGCCTGATGCGGGACTCAATCCCGAGACTCCAGGATCAGGCCCTGGGCCAAAGGCAGGTGCCCAACCACTGAGTCCCTTTAGCCCTCATTCTTGGCTGAGAGAAGCATGATCTGAAATGGAGTGCAAGAGCCCCATACTTTCCTAGCCATGGGAAAGATGTACTTTTAAGATTTAGAACTAGATCCAGTGTGGCCCTTGCAAGACCACAAGACAAGGTGTGCAGAGACACAGTAGTGTTTAAGGGACCAGGTTAAACACTCCTATTGTCCAGGAGGGGCCTGTCCCTCTACAGCCTTGGGTCCAGTTCATCCCAACTCAAGGTCCAGCATGGCCACCCTGCAAAGCTTGTCCCCAGCAAACAGTGTGCCCCCACCATCCTCTCTCAGAGCCTGGATGTATATGTTGGCCATGGATGCCTGGCTCCTTAACCTCTAGCTCAGCTTTTGTCTTGGGGTCTGTCCTTTCTCCTGACCATTACGCAGATGTCATATGATATTTTGTCCAGTCCCTGGGACATTTTCCAATGAGCTGCCTTTGGGGTTCCAGCCCTAGAGAGCCAGTGTCACATAGATAACCCAGAAATTTTTAACTTGTGTCTCTTACTTCCCCTCCTCTGTGACCCAGTGCAAACCCTGCATTCCCACCAGTGCCCCCAGCATCCCCCCCACAGTCTTACCCATGCCCTCAGCAGGCCATTCCCCTTCCTTATCCTTCCAGTCCAAGGGAGCTTCTCCTCCCTCTCCACCCGTCCTGACTCCTCCAGCCATGTGGCCCCCACAAGGTGACCCTCGATGCAGCCCCATCCTGCATTCCCACCCAACATTTTCAGAACCATCTTGTGGCTCCTGATCCGAAGTGCCTTACCCTGTCCCAGTCTGTATGTGGACCTCGTGCCCCTTCTTAAGAAATTCAGTTTGGGGAGAGCAGGGCAGTGGCAGCCTCTCCGTGTGCCCATACTCCACGTATGACACCAGGCTTGCAAGGTGTTCATTTGTTAACCCATCCACTCCTGTGTTGGCTGATTATCCATCCATCCCGCATTTACTGCATGCCCACTCTGTGCTGGCATTGATAATGCCAAGGTTAAGGAAAAGAGGCAAAGAAGAGGGAAGAGAAATTTCCTACCCTAGAGAAGGGAGGCAGATCCATAATCAGACAGGATGCAGTGGAGTTCCTGTTTCTGTAGGACTTTGAGATGTTTGGTGAACTGAAAAACCTATAAATTGCAATCGTAAATGAGGTAGAAGTGATTGGTGCTGCTCAAGAATTAGTCAAAGTGAGAGGGAGGCTGAGACTTGGAGGCTGATTTTCTGAATGGCATGAGCCTTCAGTCAATGGGACATCATGTGTGCCCACACACAGGTCACAGAATGGCTCAACTCAGGAAGCTGCTGTAGGGGACATCCAGTGTGGGATGGGAAGGAGTCATAGTGATGCAGGGGGTGGCTCATGGCATGACCTGTACAATGGCAACAATCAGGACCATCCAGAGGGTTGCGTGTTATGGGTCTTGGAAGAAGTGATGTCGGTTGGGCTGAGGCTGATCTGTGGAAATGAGGGGATGGTGTTATGACATTCTTAAGATACAGTAGGTGAGACGTGGCTACTACTTAGGCACTTATGAGGGTGGACAGGGGAGTGGAGATGGGAGTGTAACCACTGAAAGAAGGATGAGCAAACCAACATGGTGGTTCTGGTGAGAAGACTGATTCATGGCTCACTGTCAGCCCCAGAGATCACTCCCCTGAATGTGTCATTGAACTTGCCTCCTGCCCACTGTAAGATCCTCTCAGAGCCTCTCAGTGCCTCATCTCTGTGAGCCTGGGGCCTTCCAGCCTCTCACAGCTGCTGTGGCCGCTTCCAACCCAGGGGGCTACACATACACGGAGGGTGGTTCCCCTCAGGCCCATGTGGGGCAGTGTCACATGTGAAAAGCGGCCCAGAACACCAAGCTGCCCTGTCAGTCTTCCTAGTGTTTGTCGTGTCAGAGAACCTCACATTCTAGGGGAATCTTTACAAGGGAATTCTAAGCCCCTGGAGTCAGCATGCACCCCTGGGGGAATGGCATTATTCCTCACCTCAGACCCTAGCCACCGCCCCATGGCTCCCAGGTGACCCTTGGCTCTGACTGACTCACCAACTTTCGGAGCTTCCCACCCCCCAGGAGGAAGGAGGACTCACAGAACTTAGGCAAGGGCCCTACTTAGGATTTCAGTCTTATCATAAAGGATAAAGTCAGGTCCAGACACCAGAAGGGAGGCCAGGGCAAGGTCTGGGAGGGTCCCACAAACAGAGCTTCCACGTTTTCAGGAGACGTCATCCTCCCGGCATGCAGATGTCCGATGACTGACTAGGAAGCTCAACTGAGCCTGGCATCCAGAGTTTTTATGGGGTGTCATTATCACCGGCCACATGACAGAGCTCACTCTCCAGCTCCCACCCCTCTGCTTCCAGGAGATCAGAAGGTTTGGTTGATGTTGCTCACTCCAAGCTCTAACCACATGGTTGGTCCAGCCTGACGAGTCCCCTCCTGGGACACTCGTGGCCGTGAGTGCCACCGTCAGCATAAACTTAGCTGTGGCCCTATGGGCCCCCTATGAACAGCTAAGACACCCCTTCAGGAGATTCCAACCTGGGTAAAGACCAGACCAACTCTGTATGATACCACAGTCTTATTTGGACATAATTATCCAAGTGTATCTCGGTTTGTTTTCAGGGGGGACTGTTTGAACAACTTTGGTCTGTTTCAGAACAAACTCATTTCAATAGGAAATGGGGCGTGGGAGAAGAATAGGTATTTTATCCTGGCATTTCCTTCATATTGATCTTCACTGGGAATTTAAGGGAGAATCAGTTACTGGAGAATTCACTCCCTCTCTGATTTAAAACCTCATTCACAGATATCAGAAAGGGACACAGAACATAAAGACTTCTAACTCTGGGAAATGAACTAGGGGTGGTGGAAGGGGAGGAGGGCGGGGGGTGGGGGTGAATGGGTGACGGGCACGGAGGGGGACACTTGACGGGATGAGCACTGGGTGTTATTCTGTATGTTGGTAAATTGAACACCAATAAAAATTAATTTATAAAAAAAATAAATAAAACCTCATTCACAATTAAAGAGAAAACAAGCCAACATATCAAGCTCAAGTTGATACTTTAGTGTACTAATTTCAAGTTTCAGTCTACACTGGAAATATTAGTTTGTTTATTAATGGTGTGCCTGGGTTACAGAGACCTGTGTTTCTTAGGTGGCTGTGAGTATGTAACAACTTAATAAATTTCACAGTGTAATGAGTACATTTTTTAAATTAAAAATATCAAGTATAATTATGGCTCTCAGTGCTGACCTACATGGGCCAGCAGTAACTGATGCCTAAGAGAGACCAAAAACTAGCCAGTGGGTGAATCAGGTCCACCCAGCACCCTCCTCCCAGCACCGCATGGGATGTTTCTAGAAGCCACATAACAGGGTGCTGCTCCCAGATCTGTGAAATGGAAAGGTCCTTAGGATTGTACAGCTGCAGACACTTGCTGGTAGAAATCATGCCATTGGAATTTAAAGTTTTGTCACCAGTAAGTCCCAATATACAGTCTTCAGTATGCATTTGCTTTAATTGTGCTTCCGTTCCATAGCCTTGCTGATGTGTTATTTGCTTTTTCCAGGAGTTATTAGAGTTTTCTCCACATTCTCCTGAGTCCTTCCCCCAAACTCTGCTACCCAGCAGAAGACAGAACAACAGCACAGCTCCATGCTGTCAATAAAGAGCCAGCCCCTCTCTAGAAATACATGTGGGCATTTTGGCTGGTGTGACCTCACATGCTAGTGTCCAAAACTTTAATGTTAAATCTTATTTCCTAGGCCTTTGACTGTTTACACGGCTTCCTGCATTTCCATTAATAGCTTTGGGCTATAAGAACTAATTGCTGACCCAGGTTTTCTCAATTAAATAACGTACTGTGTAGAAATTGGCCCTCCCCACCCGCTTTAAGTTATGGAATCATCTGCTGTGTAATCTCCACCAGAAGGATTTGATCAGATTTCTTCGGTAGGAAAACAACACTGCGAATGAGGAAGGGTTTGGGGTTGGGGTGGTGGGGAGCTCTGGGGTTTCAGTATTTGTGTTTGGGGCATACTTTATGTTCTCCCATTTTCTGAACATTGCCCACCAGGACTGTGCGGCATAGGAACCAGGCTAACCATCGACTCTGATATGTGCTATCTTCTCTTTTTGTTCCTTTGTACCCAAGTGAACTGCCTCACTCACCTCAGAACCTGCTGGCCACCCTGAACTCTTCCCACAGCCACACCGTGATGCTGTCCTGGGTTCGACCCTTTGATGGAAACAGCCCGGTGCTCTATTACATTGTGGAGCTATCTGAGAACAGTAAGTAGTGAAGCAGAGTTGTCGCCTTGGATGATAATCACATTGCTCTCTGCACAATTATTGTCCTCAGCCTTTATTTCGGGCTCAGACCCTGAACAACTAGTCAAATGCTATGATGCTTTACAGAGTTCAGTGAAAATCCCTGCTCTGGCTTCAGGAGAGATAGAAGGGGACGTGGAAACCTGAGAATTAATAGAAGGGAGCCTGGGGAGCTTCCTGTGAGAGCCCAGATCTGGGGGCTCCCCAGGGAGGCCATGCACACCCCTGTCCCCAGGCCTAATTCGGTCATGAAAAGTGAAGCCTCCACCTGGGCCTGGCTGGGAGCCAAGGACAGTAAGAGTGAGGCATCTTTGCATGCTTCCTCTGATGCCAAGCATGCTGAGTATTCCCAGGACCCTCCCTTCTCCCCTCTTGGCCCCAGCCAACACATCCTATCTTTGCTCCAGCCCCAGCAGCTGCTATGTCCTCTCCACAGGCCATGGAATGTGCTCTCCAGGGCCTCTCCTCTTCTGCCTCTGGCAGCCTCCTCTTAGGAGGTCACGTGCACCCCTGTGATTTCAAGGGGTATCTTTTCCCCCCAAAAAAGATCTTGGTCTCCAGCATCCTTATCCAGACCTCGGGAGGCCTGCACAGAGCATCATCCCTCCTCATCTCTATCTAGTGGTCTCACACATGCTTCCAGTGTGAGTTCTTCACACTGTGATTTTGACTCCTTTTAACCCTGAGGGTCCTCACCACATTGATGTGGGCCTTCACATCTTGATTCCAACCCCTAGGCACCCTTAGTGAGGCCTGTTCGAGCTGCAAGACCAAGAACAGTCCTCGGCTCTTTCTCCCTCACTGGGCCCAGGCTTCCAGTGCGGTTCAGCCACCCTGTGGATTTGTGTTCTAGGACGAGCTGGACCCTGCTTCCCTTTCTAGCTCTGTAGGCCCCGTCTCTCTCACCAGGACAGCCTCTAACTGGTCCCCCTGCTTCTACTACTCTTCTATTCCAAAGTGTTCTTACACAAGCAGAAACACTGGTCTTAAAATATGAAGGATGTGTCCTCCCTGGATATACCCCACAGGGCTTAGGATGAAATCCACCACCCTCAGAGCCCAAGTGGGGTCATCTACCCCACCCCCCCCCACCCCTGCCACTCTGCTCTTTGCCAGGCATGTGCCAACTGCACTGGTTTCACATTGGCTGTGTGCACAGGCCTGGCTTCCTTGGTTGGAATGCCCACAGGGCTGGACTGTTACCCTTCATGCTTACCCAGAACCTCCAGAAGAAGCCTTTCTGCACACTAGTTCAGTTTACGCTTTTACTACCCAACAAGTCATCCTCCCTTTATTATATTATCTCATGCATTATTCCAAACTCCTTCCCGGGCCTCCCCTGAGGGACAGTGAGCCAGACCACAGGGAGCTGGACTCTTATTATGGTCAATGTAATGGGGCCCATGGCTTGTCATGCTATTGTTATCATAAATGGGTCCCTGTTCAGGACAGCTAGGCATGGTGCTCTCTTGGGGTACCTCCACTGAAACCCAAGTCAACCTGGCAGAAATCCAAGTGGCTCATTGGCACTGCTTACCCATGCAGGTGGAGGTGTCCCACAGCTCTGCTACAGCTCTTCCCAAGCCAACCCATCTGCTTTTCCTATAATTAGTGACTTCACTCACCAAGTCTCTTCTAATTATCTTTTATACTTCCCCTTCGTCTCGTGTGTGAGATCCTCCTTCTGATCATCACATGCTCACACCACAGCAGGCCCTGTGTGACGCTCATTTCCCAACAGAGGAAGCTGACAAGCAGAGTAAGTCACTGGCCGAGGTCACATAGCTGATAGGAGGTGACAGTGGGTTCCACCCAGGGCTATCTGCCTCTTAATGAGTATCAGACATCTACAAAGAAGTTCCATGGGGCAAATTCTCCTCTATGGCACTTCTGCAGCAGCTCTAAGGTAAATGCCGACCCACAATGGTGCACTTTGGTCTCCGTCTGTGTGGAGATTAAAGGGACCCACTTTGCGAAGCTGCCTTTATTTGAGTGGGACAGCTCCCGAACCAGTCCACTGAGGGAGAGCCCAGAAGCAATATTATAGTTCCATCTCCTGGGTTTCTAAATTTACACCCATGGCTCTCTCTGTGGGCTTCAGTCTTGAGCACCATCTGAGAACCAGGTGCCTGAGATCCAGCTCCTGGTTCCCCTTTCTGGTGGACTTCTCTGATGGCCCATCTGGTCCCTTTCCCCAAATTGTGGGGCAGGGGTATGAATGGAAACTGGTCTGTGTGCCACCGTCCATCATCTCTTCAGCCCAATGGCTCTGGTCAAAGTGGGAAGGCATTGGTGTTATTTATTAAAATAACCTTTCTGAGAAAATAAGGATTTCCTGAGGATCTCATGGTCATGTGGCCTGTAAGAAACGTAGGGCTTGATGGTCTGTGTGAAGACAGTGACACATGAACAGAACTCTAGCCATTCAAATTCAGACAAACACAAGTCCTGCTGGGTGTCCATGTCCTTGAGACCAGGACCAGGTTTCCCTCATCTCTGTGTCCTCGGTCCTTACACCAGGTAGGCACTCAGCAAATGAGCTGAAATGGATCTCTCTGGAAGAGCACCTTTGGGATGGACTTAGGCTATAGTCTTAGACCCTCTCCCAAATGACAAGTGCTCCACCACCCTTGGTTTATGAAAATAAGACATTGTTTGAACACACCATACCCACCATTTTCTCAACAGATTGCATGGGTGATAAGTTCTTCCAGTCAGACATCTTGCCCGAGTAGGACACAGGCTTTCTATGCAAACATTCATCCTACCCATGCATTCATTCACTCAACACTAAATTCCATCTGGGTATCTGCTTCCCCCAGGTGCTCTTCTCAGTGCTGGATGCAGAGCTGAGGTGACTGCTCTCCAGTCATTGACAGCAAGGGGAAGGTCAGGCTCATCTCTACATGGGGCCACATAACAAGCTCCTGCTGAGCTCTGTGTCACTGCTGTGGGAGCATGGTAGGAGAGGGACCGGCTGGGAGGTGAATTACAGAGCCCTCAGAGTGGACAGGCCCCAAGACTTGGGCCAGGCAGAGGGGGCGGCAGCATCAGCAAAGCCCCAAAGCATAAACATGGAGGCGTGGAGAGAGCAGCCAGCTTCTACAGGGACAAGAGGGGAGTGGGGCCAGGACATTGCCCAGTGCTATAGGAGTGTCTGCCTGGGGAGAATCTCTCTTGCTTTTCATGCCACAGCTCAACTATGGCTCTCCTCCGTATCTCTTCTTGACTCAGAACCCCATCATGCCCAGGCAGGCTTTGTCCTTCTCTCCTCGGGGTCCCTACACCCCTAGATATATTTCTCCTGGAGTATTTGGTATTGTATAATAGTTCCTGGTCTGTGTGTGTGTCTCCCGGCAAGACTGTGACCCCCGTAAGGACAGGCCGGGCCCGAGTTCTCTTTGTATCTGTGACAGCCAGCGGAGAGCCTGGTATGCACAGGTTGACTCTGTGGGGTTCAGTGGCTTCACGTCACTTCAAAAGGCTCTGAGAACATCATAAGTCCCTCATTAGCCTTTGGCTCTCTCCACTGGACCTTTCTGGAGCTGGCTCAGACTCCCATCTGTTTTTCCTTCAGAGACTGTGATGTGGAATAGTGTAGACTACTCTAGAGTATTCTACACTATTATTATTATTACTGTTGCTCAAAGTATTATTATTACACGAAGAAGCCAGAGTGGTAAGATGGTTATCTCTGGGATGATTCTGATTTCTACTATGCAAAATAAGTCTGTGGGCTTTCCTGAAATAGTTCACACCACTGCCAGTCACATGGTTGCCTGTCTTCCTGCTGCGGCAAACGGGAAGACCAGCACTGTCCCCCAGGCCAAGGATCTGGTTTTTATTTTTATTAGGAAGCAGTGCCCTTAAGAAACAGCTGAACCCACTAGCTAATTATGGTCAGAAAGAACAGCTTAGCAGCAATACACTAAAATGGAAATATTTGGCCTACACTCTGTACTATGCAAGTGGATAATTCTGAATAACTCCGTTCAGCAGTCCATCAATCCGGCTGCTTGGGACACTTTCTGCAGCCAGCTTCTCCTGGCAGGCTGATGAGGATGCCATTCTCCTGGAAGCCATGGCTCCTGCAGGGGCCAAACTGGTATGGTTCTGTGGCAGGGGCAGGCCCTTTGCAACACCTGCCCTTGCCACATGCCAGACATCACTAGAGGGCCTCTCCAGAGCTTTTATGAAGCAGAGCTCTGGAGTTTCATTTGAGCCTTTATGCTCTTGCCTGGAGTCAGAACTCTCTGCAGAAAGCACATTGGGCCTCTCAGGCATCCTGAGGATCGCCTTTCTGGAGTTTGATAGTTCTCCTTGCTGAGCTGGGGCCCAAAGAGGGCAGCCATGTCCACAGCCTGCTTCCAGGTACACGTCTTGGGGGCTAAGAGCACACAGGGTCCACGGGCAAGGGGACTCTGGGGTTCCTGGGTTAAGAGAGCTCAGGGATTCTCATGGCCTTGATAGCAAGGACCCTGTAAACTGGTCGAGAATTCTGGTGAACAGCTAGAGCATTTGGCCCAGTCTCTTAAGTGCTCCTTGAGTTGGATCAAAAATAATCTTTCTTTGAGATTATTAGGATAACAACGCAGGAGACTGCCAGAAGAAACTGTGAGAGGCTTTGAAGTGGACTCAGAGACAGATCAAACACACATTACCAGGCGTCTCATCCAGCAGCCTTTGGGGCTGGCTGCCTCTATAGAGACCCACACTTTTCACAGCTTTCAAGCTGTTTCACAACTCTGTAGATAGTACAAAACTTAAGAGTAATGCAAATAATTCTCATCCATAGAAATGCAAATTGCACAGAAGAAGGGGGAAATTAATTTTAAAAACAACAACAACTGATTAGAGGCTATAAATAGAAATAGGGAGGTGCAGTATTGTTTCTAAAGAATCCAAGTTTCATTTACTGTGGATTGGTGACAATATTTTTTAAAGCCAAATGCCCTAAGACC